TGAGCCAACTTCACAATAATCTATAAAATCCACTGCAGATTACTCAAAAGGATCTATTCTCAAAAAAATCCCACAAAGGTTGACAGGCTGAGCAGAAGTTCAGTAAATTTGATTTCTGCACTGGGACAGAGAATTGTGTGAACCCAAAAGGCTCCAAATCTTAATACAAACAAGTACATGTCATTACTGAGCCATCAGGAGCTGAGGTAACTGGGTTCTCATCACTCTATCCTGGACTGTTGTTAAAAGGTCACCTTTTTGTTTAAAATGCATTTGGATAAACAAAACACTGAAAAGTCTGTGCTAAATTAATCAATAGTGTAATTACTTTGGACAGCTATCTGTATAACAGTTCTAATAAAAAATAGTATTTCTGCTCAGAAATCACGTGCCCTCTGAAAGTTTCGAGAGCCTCACTCCTGAAGACTGCTTCCCAACACAGGCCACCAACATAGGCCACCCCCTCAACATTCTTTCCACCCTTTTGACTGGATCCCATTTAAAATGAATTACTTTCCTTTTTGACTGATGCTTTACTTTAATTGTTTTTGGTTGGGGTTTAAACAACATCAGGCCTCAAAAAATAAGATTTTTTTCCATTTCTCTTCTTCCTGAGGAGTTTATAGTAGACATGTATTACCAGTAAGAGAGATTGTGAATAAATCCCAAAGACAATATTAAAGTGGTGCTGGTTGTTGAACTAAAATCAATAAATTAATGTGCTCTGATAATGAAGTCCTGTTATGTTGATTTTTCAAGCTTGGTCTTTGATCCCTTCCCTTTCTCAGAAACCTGATTACTCATGCTTACTTTCCCATGGCTGGTGTAAGACAGTATTACAAATTCCTTTTGTTCTTTTTAATCGTATTTATTTCCTCTACTAGATACTGTGGTGAGCTTTCAGCTCCAATCTTTGAAGCTATTTTCTGACATTTTCGGGGCCTATCCATAGACAGATGGAAAGATCACCAAGAACTTCTTAGCTCTTTCCATTACACAGTAATTATTTTTCTTATCTGTTTTCCTGGGTATCTCCTACTTTAAACAAGAAACCTTAAAAAAGAAGGATTTTAAATTGACTGCCATGGTGACAAGGCAGACCGGTCTACAGAAATATTCAGCCTATACACCACTGAAAATGTTAAAAAAAAAAAGGATCTAAAGAATAACTTTGGGAAAAGAAATAGGTAAGTACCACAATTTATGGCGTTTAGCCATATTAGCCTTTCTCTTTTGATGAGGCTTCCTTTCCCTTAGCTCCATGCAGACTGAGATAATAATATAAACTATATTTAATATAATGTAAATATATTATATAATATATAATAAATATAAACCAATCATGCAGTTTGGAAGCATTATTGTGTAATCAAACATGTCTTAGGAATAAAAAATACAGAAAACATTCAGTAGCTAGCATGTGAGGATATATAAAATATTCTAACAACCACAGGAAGGGTTTGGAAAGATTTTCTCTCTCCTGTCCTTGTGTAAGTGCATTGTATATACTAGAGGTGACCAAGACTAAATTACAGTAGCTTTGGAAACACAACTTTTTTCACTTTATTTTGTTTGACTCTTTAAATTTAATCTCAGATATAACAAAAAAACCTATCAAACTGCTTATAATGTATGGATTTATCAAGATAATTGGATTACATATAGATTACATTCCAACCATACAGTGTGTCTTTCATGCAACTAAAGAAGATCTGTTCAAAGGAAATTCATGTAATATACCACTTATTGACAGAAAAAAGATATATTGCTCGGAGAAATCATCAGGGAAAAGCTATTACTGCATAGCTGAAAAAAGATAAGTCATAATCATGAGGGAATAATGAATGATAAAATTGTCTAGGAAGAAGACAATGTTCCTTATAGGGAAGACTATTGTGAGAATAAAGAGAAAAAGGACTTATCATCAAACAACAACAATAAACTTTTTAGCCTTTGGAAGGAAGTCAGATTCTGTTGGTTTCTCAGACAGAATGAAAACTCAGACTGCAGTTAGCTCACTTTAGTATTTCTGTTTGTCAGAGTTAACATCATAAAATGACTGAGGAGGTGGAGAGACAGGAGGTCAGGCAGTGTGGGCATCAAGAGAGATGGAAAGATAAAAGAACTTGCAGCAGTCAAAGAGGCAACGCTTGTCTGATGAGGATACCATGTCCTTTCAAATAAAAAAGAATAGCAAGATTTTAAGATGCCATTTTCAAAAGGCACTTGCCTCCTTCATAATAATAATTTATAAGGCAGTAAACTTAAAAAGAGTGATTTCTAAAATGTCACAAATAGATGAAGCCTTGACCGCAAAAATAAGATTTCACCCTTGTTGCCTGACACAGAATTCTGCATAATACCAGGAAAATCACCTAAAATTAAACTTCTCACAGGTGGTTGCTAATTAGATGGTTTTCATTTTCTAATCTTGACTTGGGAGCCTGGCATCTGGTTTGCTGAAAATTTACAGCTGTGGCTCATTAAAGACTGAAGTTATTTAAGGACAAGTACAGCCAACTTTGGCGACTCTCCCTTGCCTGGAACAGAGCCACCTGAGACAGACAGACTGACCGACCAATTCAACCTCTAAGAGGAATGTTTAATCCTCATTATAAGTTGAGAAACTGAACCTCAAAGACAAAAGTAAAACTTGGCTAAGCAATTTTCATGCTTTTGTGCTCTATTACATCCCAGCTAATAAACTAGCTCTGGAAAGGTCAGCCCTGACCTACATGAAGAAGGCACATGCCAACTCCACTCTGACCTTCTGCACTGCACTCCTCAAAAATTAAACACAGAAGAGATAGGGGCAAGTGTTTCCAGGGGGGTAATGATGAATGTTACAGACAAGAAGAGGAAATCAGTGTTTTCAGAGTAGGAATGAGCAGTATGCCAAGACTAAGGTAAAAATCCACATGTCAAGCAACAAAGAAAAAAAGTATATTGTTCTTTGTGTGAGCACCATTCATCAGAATAAATGGGGGAACATTTCCAGGGAAAAAAAGTGGTGTCAATGTAACTGTAGCCCTCATACACAATCATGGGAGCCATTTTAAGTTATAAATCTGGTTCCCAAGTACCTAAAAAGTAACTTAAATTAGATTTCTAATTTTAAAACAGCTAAAAAGATATAAACTTGATGAAACTGAAAGGAGAAGGAGTTTGGGATACATGGTCAACCTCAAGTCTAAAATTCCCTTGATTCTGCACACTCGAATTTTTGAACATTAACCCCACCTAGGCAGATTTTAAATATTATTTTATACACTGGATATTTGTAGCTTTTAACCTTTTCCTGTAATTCAGCCCTTCAACAACCTAAAATTTAGGGGGTTTCTGTATACTTTTTTTTTTTAATAATGCCATATTCAGAGAGCAACCCAACACATGCAGAGAAAGCAGCCAAAACTTAACGGAAAGCCTTAAAGTTATAAATTTAAATTTCCATATTGCAAACATTATTATGTCCCATTTCATCTTTTTCTGCTGATTTCAAGGAAAAGCTGTATTCACCGACACAAGCAATTATATGATGCCTGATCTTTCTTGTGTTGTCTATGTCACTTCTTGTTTTTCCAAATAACATTCTGTAAATTGCAGAATTACATACCTTCTTATTACCACAAACGAATTTTTCACAAAGAACTTTTTTCTCATGTCTATGGGAGATGGTAAAAAAATCTGTTCTATAAAGATTTTTTCTTATAAAAAGAGTTAGAATAAAAGAATAAATGTGCAGTCAAGGTGAAGATCAGCTCCACATTTTACTATATTATTGATTAAATAAGTAAGAAAATATCTCAAAATTATTTTTTTTCATTTAACAAAGTACCATAAAATATCTAGCATATTCTCAAATAATTTTGCACTCTTTTTTTTGAATCTGCCGCTTTTAATGCTCTCATTTTATATTTGATAGTTTTTAGGCCCTAGTTTAGAAAAATCTTTAATACAGAGTTTTGCGATCATGAGACCTACTGAGCTCAGTAGCAGACTAAGTGGTGTTTTGCTTTCTTACCATGCTTACTTTGTTTATTTTATGTTCTGACAAACTCAATACAGGAACAAAAGGATCCCATTTTGACTAAAACAAAGACCACAACTCCAGAGCTAACATTTCACTATCCAAAGAAACAGGGACAAAACAAAGAAATAGATGTAAAAGACTCTCACAATGTAACAGTGCTCAAGGACACAGTTAAGTCTTCAATTCAACAGGACATGTAAGCATATTATCTGTGATTTTATCAGTCATCCCAGTGACAAGAGGCTCTATTGTACTTCAAGGTGGCTAAGTATATATTGAATCAAAATGTGATGTATACTCGATTACCAGGGTAAAATATGTATCATAAGTATTTTGCAGAAGCTGGACAAAAAGAGTCTTTAAATCTGAGCATCAAATCCCAGCAAACTATTAATCCAGAAAGGGCCTGAGATACTGGAACAGGTTGACCAGAGAGGTTGTAGATGGCCCATCCCTGGAAACATTCAAGGTCAGGTTGGCTCTGAGCAATGTGATCTAGTTGAAGATGTCCCTGCTGAAGGGGGGCCCTTCCAACCCAAACTATTCTGTGATTCTATGATTCCAGGGGTGGTTCTGCCCCATACTTTAGGTCTGGTCCCATATCAAGACATTCTAGGAAAAGATAGAAGAGCGCAAAACCTGATGAATCATCAGTGACCCAGAACAGCCACAAATGGCAACGCTCCTCTTAAAGTATCCTCTGCTCTCCTGCTCTCTCACCTCCCTGTCCCACACCACATACAGTCACTCACTCTCTAACTCAGACTGCAGCCAAATGACACAATTTGTAACCTCTCTGTCACAGTTAAAATTTGTATTTTTCATAATTCCTAACATTTTTGTTTCCCCAATTTACCTTAATGTATTTTGGTGGATTGCTTTTAATCCATTAAGTTCATTTTACATCTGCTGATGCTACTACAATTATACATATATAAGGAAAGAACAGGCCCTGCACAGGTTAACTCACCCTGGTTGCGTGTCGTCGGTCACACAATGGTATGTAAAAGTTCCAAACATTTGCACTCCCAGGATCCCATATAGGAGAAGAAAGAACAGAAGAAAAATTGAAACGCTCCAGATTTGCTCTCCAGAACGCCTGGCAAAAAGACAAACAGGACTCTGAATGCACAGGCAATGTGAAGCCTCCTCTGAAAATCTCTAGAATAGAAAATATGCTCATACAAAGAAAGTAGTATTTCATCCTGCAGAAAAATTGTCCTTAAAACTGTACTTTTACTCTGCACAATAAGAAAAGGGGGACATGATTTTTTCTAAATCCCTAAGTTAGGGTAATTAAACCAGCTGTAAGCTGTAAAGGGTGGAACAAAAATGCCCAAATAAAATGTATAAAGTCTAGCTTTTGTAAAATAGTATCTAATTACTTATACAGACAAGATATGGTGATGAATAAAGTTGATACTGAATAAAGACCAAAAAACTCTTTAACATTACCATTATACTTTTTGCCATGAAATGCTCTACCAAGCATAATTATGTGTGTTTGCTTGCAAATAGGCATCTTTGTATACACATCAATACATGTACACTTGTAACTGTAATGGTTAGGGTCTGTGCTCATGTACTTTTATTTACAAATATTACCCTAGTAAGGATATTCACCTTGATTATTAAATGGGGATATTAATGGAACAGAATTTACTGCCATTGGCTGCAAATTGCTGGCTACAGTTATTAGCAAAGTGCTTTAAAATGTGTTTAAATATTTGAAAGTTTTGATCATTTTCTATAAAACTTCATTATTCCTTAAATATGGAAAATAGCAAGAATTTTTGGCCAGAACTAAAACTCAGGAGGAAAATGCCCATTAAGCATGAAGGGTTGTTGATTTACCGCATAGTGAGTCTTCTAACCCAACACTGAAATATTCTCTATTATCTGAAGAATAATAGCCTTACTTACTTCAAAATATTTGTTATCCTAGTTCTTGGCAGCTCAAAACGAAAATATATCCGGAATGCTCGAATCATAATGAGCGGTCGTGGAATCCGTAGCATGCCCCAAGGTGACATCTGGTCAACTATTTCAGCAATTTCAAACACCTACAAAGAAAAGAATCAGTCCTTTGTCTTGATGACTCTCTCCTATGCCTGTGTTCATTTATAGAACTTTTAAAAGTAGGAATACTACACATTTTTTATTTTAATTTTCAATGTTCTCTTGGTGTATTTTATGGTTCATTTTAATTACATTTTTAAAAAGAAAAGTCTTTGTAAATACTTTAATCCATTTCTAAGTTATCCTAATGAGCTTCCAAAAATATACTCTGCCCATGCTCATAATGCTTCAGTCTCAAACAACTCAAGAAGACACTGCAAGCTTGTGTTAGCTGCCTATTTCTGTGCTAGTCCTACCCCATAGGTTTCCCACAACCTTGTTAGAAGTGATTAATATATATTTCCAAATACGAAAATCAGTATCTGCTAATGTTGAACAGCACTGAGGTTTTTACTATGATATAAAAATACATATACACAGATTGCCTTAAGAGTTGCAACATGCTTATAAATTCCCCATTTAATTCCAAGTGCATGACAAAACTGTGCATCTTTTTCTCCTAGACTCTACTTATGACAAAAATTTCAGCCAAGACACAGAATGGGGAACCATTTCCTCAATACATTGATAAGTTATGCACTCCATAAAGAGTATTTAGCTAAACGATTGGGTGAAAATGTCTTGTTTTAATCCTTGTCTATCACTCTCTTAAAGTAACTACTTGATTTAATGTTTACTCAAAGTACTAAGAAAACGGAGGGGGAACCTGGACACACATAAACTGGGTAATCTACAGTGCTTATCTGTAATGATCAACCTTCATTCTACATGTGTACAAGATGTACCACCAAAGTCTGCCCTGTGTAAAAAGCAGAAAATAATGTGTCTGAAATTTGCCAGAAATGTATACGTGCCTGACAGCAATCACTACAGAACTTTTACAATCCTTACACTATTGCAGGTCAAATGTCAGTCTTCAACCTGTTCTTACCCGAAAAACTGCCTATGGTTAAGGACTGATTGATATGCAGAACACAATTTGACCTTTACCTTAACACTGTACTTTTTTGCAACATGTCCAGGTTCCCTTCTTTATAAAAATTTATTAAACTATTTCCAAATATGGGGATTTTTCCCACTGTGCTTTAGCTTGAATCTTGGAAAATGTTTTGTTAGCTGTGAGCAATCAATCTTACATGAAACCACTCCACTCACCATATCAATACACTTGCAGCATGGGAAACATTTACCATTGGAATCATTCTCCCCTTAGGTGCCTAAGCTAGTCACCATGGCATCCTACTAGACTCAGTGGAAGGAAATGAGCACAATTGTCATATGGAGTAAGGGATAAATGGCTCTCTGAAGATCCTTCTTTCTCCTTTTGACCATGCAGAGAGTTTATGGTAACCAGCTTCAGATTTAATAAGAAAAATTAAACAAGATAAAATCTGCTACTAATGCAGATATGCTGCAATGTGCAATTACGGAGCTATTGAATTCAGTACATTTTTTTAAAAACAATTTGACCCAAGTACAACTGTACTTCCACAACTCACAATTTTTTGGTTGTGCCATATATTTTTCACAATTAAGGAACCATTCATTGAAAAAAAAGAAGTGAAATGATTACCTGTAAAACCAGTGACACCCAAAGACAAAAGACCATGAATCCATCAAACACACACCAACGATCCTTTACATAGGAGCTATCACCCTACATGAAAGAAAAGCTAAGAGGTTAATTGTTCTTTTACTGTCAGGATTTACAAATATCATAAACAAGAGTTCTTGGAAGAAGAAGTGTTCCTTGTGGACTTTTAGAATGCTACTTTTGAAAGACTTCAAGTCTAGTATCTGGATTAGAATATGCTGGAAACATATATACATATCTTCTGGGTGAATAAATGCCAGCTTCATTCTTGTGTGGTACTTCTGTCAGAGAGAACTTACAAATAAACCTACTATTTAGACTTTGATGTAAATAAAAAAACACACAAAAAATTTACACTGCACTTACTTTTCCATTGTATTGCCCATTACAAAATACACAGGAAGGTAAGTGTAAAATGGTAGCAATATAGTATTGCGTCGTTCACTTACTTCAATACTGTTCAACAGCTTCAATTAAATCAGTATCATTTTACATTCATTTTTTCATATTTTTTCAATCATTTTTCATGCTCTAGAGAAGTCTTGCTATCAGAAACACTTAACAGTAACCACTGAAACATCTGAACATGGTTTTGGTGACAGTCCAATCCAAAGATCACTCCTAAAAGGCAGCATGGAGAATTCAGCATCCAATTTCCTCTACACTACACAATTCTCAATCTCTCTTCCAGTTTGCATGCTTCAATATCCTCATGTTTCACACCATTCCTGACATGGAACACAGGCCCTCCACTGCAAGCTGTAACAACACTTCTTTGCTGGGCTGCTAATACCTGATACTTCGAACACCTACACTTATTAGGTAGATCACAGCTGAGTGTTAGTTTTGTGTACCACATGGAGCAGAGAGGAAGTTGGGGCCCAAATGCATACAGATAGATGCAGCTTGTTGAAAGGGAGACTAGACAAAAATATACCTAAGGAAAGTAGATATCACAGTTTCATGCAAAAACATGTGCAGAGACAATGACATCCCAGGGCACAAAATCACCCCTTCCAAATGATGTTTCTCACAACAGAATCAATATAGCCTTCCCTGCCTTATACACTTCCTCGTTTCTTTTCTGTTTAGAGATCTTACAGCTACAAAGTACAATCCACTTTTCAAAGGTATAACTGGGGAAAAAATTATTGTCATGTCTGAAGAATCTTGAAGACATTATTGGACTTTGGCCTTTTATGTGATTCNTACACATTTTTCCTTATCTCAGTTATTTCAGTATTTGTTTTTAAATGTCTCAGCATTTTCATTTATTTTGTAAGCACAGACAAGATGTTTTGTTTTAATCTAATGTTTTCAATGACATACACTATCCTAAAAATTATTTATCATTCCTTGCAGTAGGTGACAGCATGATATATTGTGTAAAGAGACAAAGTATGTTTGGCTTAGTTTTTTTTTAATTTGTTTCAGTTGCAAAAATTCTTCAGGGCAGAAGTGAACACAGGATATCAAGAAAATACAGTAAGTGATTTTCAAGTCTGAAATTAGGGACGGAGAACTTCAACAATATTTTCAAATGAGGATTTTCTAACACATAAGGAGGTTAAAGTTCTCAAATCAAGACTTAAGAGAAGGAAGACTGTAAATTAGGGAAGCAACAGAACAGGAACTTTTGCAACATTTTTACCTGTCCTTCCTAAAGAAAGTAGACTTAGTTCCTCAAGTAAACTCTACGCTAATCAGTAACTGTTTGCTCAGTGCTGAGAGAATTCAGATGTTTAGTGGTTATGTTCAGTAACCGTGAAGCAGATTCATGTTATTTCTCTGCAGAAATCAGCTACCCACACCCTAAATCTCTTACTCCTCTCTCCTCTGCCATTCTCTCCTAGTGAATAAATCTCCAGTGAGATTTGTATCAATGTGCAACTTGAGTCCTTCAATTGTGGCTCTGAACAAAAATGCTGATTGGTCTTTCTCTTGCTGAAGAATTCTTTGAAACTTACATTTCTTCTCTTAAGTACCTTTTGTCTAAAGCAAAAAGTCTTCCCTGAGTTGAGCCATACAGATCTGAGCACAAACTTGTGCAGGAGTTCTTGTATTCACACTCTTCTGAATAACCCATCAAGTTCTCACTGAAAGCCAAACCTTTTTTTAGAAACTGCTTTTTCTCTCCACAATAGCTGTGGTTTAATTCAAACAGCTTTGCTGTTTTCTCCTTACAAAAGTAGATGTCATGACCCTTTCCAGTCTTCTCACCTGTTAAGCTGCTGCACCACTTCACTTCTCTCACTGTCACACCAGGCCAGTTTCCACCACTAAATCCACCCAGTAAGAGAGGCTTTCAGTGAATTGACCACAGAAACTTAGGGCACCTGAATTACATCTGTAGAAACGACTCATTTTGGGGGAGGACCTGGCCCTTTCCACTTTGCATGTAGGGAGATCTGGGCTAAGTCCCTTTAATGTTACTCGTCTGACAGTGGATGTGGTTGGGAATCTTTGATGCATTTTACTGTGTATGGCCTTATTAGATGTTGTTGTTGGAAGCATTTTTAAGGCAGGACTACATTCTAGTGTGCCTTAAAAATAAGTTTGAAATTGCAGCCTCGCAGAGGTGATGTGTGTTAAACACTGCTGTGCTTCATCCAGCAGTATTCTGTCCTCCCCCAGCTCGAGTGTTTATGGTGGATGCAATGGGTGGATTGGGAGCCAAATGATTCAAGGTGAAAGCTTTCACTTTGAAGCATCAAATATTGCCTGAAGATTGAACAGGGAGGTTTGACAGGCAAACAGTCTCATCTAACATGACAACAACTCAGATTTATAATTGACATTCAAAGCTCTTATTCAACAGAAAAAAGCCAGAACACCAAGAGATGGAATAGGTAAGAAGGATGCATTTTCCAGAAAGAAGATTGTATTATTTGGTAATTAGGATTATTATAAGTTGAACAACACATTTTATACTCCAGAGACTAGGAAAAGCTTATTGAAACAAAAATCCCAGTGTAGCTGTAAGAAAGACATATTTATATTAGTGGTGGAGAACACAATACTCTGAAATCAAATTTTACATTCAACTTACTCCCTTAAAAATCCTACACAAATTTCATCATTTTCATGAAAACACAGCTGCATAGAAAAGTTCTTATTCCCTTCAACGGGGATTTAGATGGCATTAAGATTTGTTCATCTTCATGTCTTGTTTCATTCTCTCAAATTAAGAGAGAAGAAAACATGGGCATAAAATAAAATAGAATTGTTTAATTATAGCAGAATTCCTTGAAAATGCAAGTTTCAACACAGAAAGGTACATTAGGGACGAAGTTCCTTCTCTTGCTACCTGAATACATAACATGTTATCCACTATGTTGCTTTCACTGCTTTCCTTTTGTTTCATTTTACCCTGATATGAAGCGATACATTAAAAATATCCCTCAGTAATAGCTGCTGTCATGAAGAATAACAAGCAAGTAACCCTTGAAAGTGCTGTTACAGAGGAAAAAATTAGCATTACCAAAAAGTAAAGTTTTGTTCGTCTAATTGGTGTGTTGAAATATATTGAAAGAGCAATTTCCAACTACATTATGATCATAAGTATTGCTAAGTATTATATGGACACATACTTCAATCCATGCCCCAAAATAATTTCTCACTAAAAACTTCCATGACCCATTGACCAGTCAGAAAAAATACTGTTTATATTTTAGAAATACTGCTTATGTACATTCACCAAGTAATTTAAATTTTCTAATGTTTTAATGCAAAAATGGTGCAAAAAGCCCCACTGTGTAATATGAGTCATTACTTTCCTGTAATAAACACTCCAATAAAACCTGACACAAGTAACCATAGAAACAGGTGCATATGTTCTAGTGCCATGGTCTCTAACCTTCCCTGGTCCACAGGCAGCAACAGACAACCAGCAACATGCTGCAGGCAACTTCAAATTTGTTTTCCTCATGATAATCACTTTTAATTTTTTTAATTTCCTGTGACTGGAAACAGCATCGGAGCATTTCACTAGTAACACAGCCCCAGTAGGCTGGGAACAGATGTCCTTTACAATGGACATACATGCTTAGCAAAACAACAAAAAACACAGGAAAAAAGTGAGACAGAAGAATCAAGTTTTGTAGACTGTGTTATTCACATGATGGATATAAATACTGTTTTCTATGAAATAATATTTACAACTAAGAATCACAGCTGCCAACACCAAAATATTCCAGTATTTTTTTAAGTTACATTTTAAAACAATTTGAAATAACATACTCTTTGCCAACAAAGAATAGCATGGGACCTGCACTACACATCTAGGTTTCCAACACCATTATACACTGCACAAAACTTCAATTTTCTAATATATGTATGCAAAATAATTTGTCATAAGGAAAAAAAAAAATCATCTTAAAATCCCAAGACATTGGGCAAAGAGAAAGTCAAACCTTAAGACAAATGGTCTTTTTTGTGTTTACTCTGTGAGCTTTTTACTACCACAGGTAAGTAGTTTTCTCACTTTCTTTTTTTCCCTCCACTCTGTTTAGTTGAAGAAACTCAGAATTTTCTCATTCTTGCCACTGACTCTACTGGTTATGCCCCTGCCCTCAAGGTCAAGGTTCTCACTCTTGTTTGTTACTTGCACATCCTGAGACTGAGCTTTCAGCACAACGCATCACAAGGACTTCAGAGCATGCTCTTGCTTGATGATGGGAGCCACATATTCTGTTTTACTACCCAACCTTTGAAAAGAACACAATTTCCTGATCCTTAACTCATTCATACACTATGGATATACAGCACTTCTAAAGTCATGGAACATATTCATTTCAGAATTTCAGTCTTCCATTTTCAGTTTGTAACACAACAGAAACTCCTTTAACAAAGCTAGCAAAACCCAGTGAGCAAGCTGACAGTGTTTCACCATAATTCTATTAATATTTTCATCATTTATCAGAAGGATTAATCTAATTTTGTAATTTGTTTATTCCTGTTTGATGAAGATGGAATGTTTAGTATTAAAACTACTGAAAAGAAGGCAATACAGATACTTGTAATAAGGTGCATTAAACATCAGTTCTGTAATCGATAACTCAAGA